AAAACTACATACTTTTGGTAAAGAAGGGAGGTGTGCAGATAGGATACTTGCTAAAGTTGGGGAAAAAGATTTTTAGAGTAAGCGCGCTACGTACAGGAGATGCACAATCACAACAGGGGGTTAGTGGGGAGTGACGTCATAGTTGAGGCCGTATATATTCAACGCTACAGTAAGAAGAGGTGTGCGAACGACCGTGGATGGGAAGGGGGTTACGATTAGAAGGGGATGAGAAGGGGGTTACGATTAGAGGGTAGAATTGGAAATAAACGCGACAAGTAAAAAAGCGCTAACAGTTGCACGCGGTGAGGGTGGGATGGTCTATTTATTTCAAGGGGTTGTCGAAGAATGCTTTCCAAGTGGAGGAGAGCGAGTCCGCATCTCTGCTGTTGATACAACCGTCTTTGAGGGATTGCTTAAATATTTCAATTGTTTCGACTGTTCTAAGCTTGGTGTGGTCGTGCATAGGAATAGTACACACCTCCTGTATAGGAATAGTACACACCTCTACACACCTCCCTTCTTTACCAAAAGCATGTATTTTTCGCCCTCGGTATCGTATACCTATCATCGACGATGACGTCACTGGTAAGACGATACCTGGGTAAACATTGGTAGCATTTAAACTTCTTCTAACCGACGCTCCACAGTGTACCCGAGGAAGGCCTATTAAGAAGGCCGAAAACGTTTGTACTCCAGTTAATAAGGCTAGAAATTAGTGAGAAAGGTTTTTGTGCTGATAATCTTAGAAATAGTTCTAGCTACATATGCATAACAGTATGTATAGAAAAAAGTCAAGAGAAGGACCTTAATAGTCAGTTTGTACTAACTGACTGACTGTTGTATGTTCAATATGTGCAGGTGGTGCCTTTACTAGTTGAAATTTAGAGGTATTCTGAATAAATACCAAAAAAAAAAAAGGATTATACAGTAGTACCTTTCATGAAATATTCTTTTATAGAGTTTTCCTTACAATTTTCAGTTAGATAAGACAAAACATAGTCCTATTCAAAACTTTTTCATAACATTCCTATTAATTGGGACTGCTGTTTGGGACATATATTGAAAAATGGGAACAAGAGAGATAATATGAGACAAATTTACTTTGCTTATTTGTGATATTCCACTGCTTTATCAGGACAGCATAGCAGCAAAGAGAAGTATATGTTAATGAACTGATGTTAAAAACCAAATCAGAAGAGTTAGCTACAAAAATGGGTCACAAATTTCAAAGCTACAGACAGATGGTTATTGTGATGAAAAACCAGACATGAAATAAAATTTTAGAAGGCACACAATGAAATAGACAGTGCTGACAAATTGAGTGCTGAAGAGTGGAAATCAAGTAATTTGCCCGAATTGCTGCAGATATTTAGTCCTGATCAAATCTACGATGTAGATGAAAAATGCTGATTTACCTCTGTTTTTTGAGTTATAAAGTATAGTCAGGTTAAAAAAAAACAATGGATTACATTATGTAATATACTGCTGTAATATGTCAGGAAATGATAAAAAGAAATTATTAGTCAGTTATTAATCATTAGAAAGCATGCTTGATGCTTTAAAGGTGTTAGAATAGACTGTTTAC